TTGCGAAATATAAGGAATTGTTAATATAGGGTAGGGTAAGGTAGGGTAGGGAAGGGCGATCCACAAAGGTCTAAATTGAACATCAGTAACTATACTGTCTAAATTAAATGAGAACTACATGACAACACACAACATGTATGAAACAAACAACTATCGAACTATGTTTAGTCAAATTTTCAGTTAACTCATTATAGAAATATGTTTTTTCTACTATATTCTGAAATTTGTCATATGTCACCTTTTGCACCGCGGGCGCGGTAAAAATAGGCAGCCAGGTGGCATGCAGATACAACGTCTTTTTTTAATACTACAGGGATTGTACGAAATAGTAGCTACATTTTTTAACCAATGTGAAAAGCAAATTTTATAGGAACACTTTTTACAAAGATTTCCTTGTATACATGTAATCTTAATCTTATATTTCGAAAGAAGTAGTCATCAGGTGATGTCGAATAACTATTAATATAATTAATTCTAGTAAAAATGATTTTATTTAAATTTATTTATTTTTTTATTTACTATTTCTTATTGCTTACACCTTTGCCAATGTAAATGTTAAGTAGGTCCTTTTTACCCCACTCACATGTAAGCTTTCATAGAGGTAATAGAAAAAAAACTGTTGTATCTAACTTAAACATCTACAATGTTATATCTAATACATCTTATAAAATAATTAAATAACATAAATCTCAAAATTATATTTAGGTATCATAACTTAAATACAAGTATACAAGAGCCCAAAACCAAAAAAATACTTTTGTTGAGAAAATTGATATGAGAAAATTATTTTTAATTTTAAAGGAAATTTTCTAAATAATATCTACATTTTCTAACTAACGCAAAATATAAATTTTATGGGTACATTTTTTACAGAGATAACACTGTACACAACCTTGATTCGGTATTTTATCAGAAATATTCATCAGCAGAACTATTTAATTCATCTTTTCTAAAATTATTTTTTTAGCTTAATTTTATTTTTTTATTTACTATTTTTTATTATGACACTTTTGTGTAAATGTTTGGTTCGTTCTTTTTACCCCACTCACGTGTAAGTTTTTATAGAGGTTATATAAAAGCTGTTGAATCCAACTTAAAAATAACTTTACATCTGATGAAATCATTGAATAATGTATCCTTATAAAAATTATATTAAGGTCTTGTAAACTAAACAACAGTGCTTACAACCAAAAAAACTAACAACGAAAGAAAATACTTTTGTTATGGATTTTTGAACATTGTCGTTTACCTCTTGACAGTAACGTTGTAAAAATCGAGGGGTTAACGTTACTTGTTTTTGAGATATTGGTGGTGAACAATTTACCCGCGGATTGTTAAACACCGCTCTACCCTGTATATAATAATAATAATAATAATAATAGTAATCATAAATGGAAGTCTGCCCGAGTCTGCAGGTCCATGGTGTGAGAGCCACCACAAATAAATGATTCCTTTACCCTTCGTTTATCATTCCTATTACTATTATTTCCCCTTCTCTATATTTTCATGTATTTTCCTTTCCTTCTGCTTCCATGCTTCTTGATTCTGTGCTTCGGCTTTCAGTTCCCTGTATCTTCTCTTCTCGCGTAAGTCGTCAATCGTTTGCATTATTCTTCTTCCCATTCCTTTTATTTCTTTTACTTTACCCTCGACGACGTCGTGCAACAGGCACTTTTTTTGCAGAAGAGGTCCGATCCAGTTTCCTTTTCTTCTTAGAATTGTGCTCAGTAGGAACCTTTCTTTGCTTACTCATCTCAGGACCACTTCATATGTTATTTTGTCTTTCTACTTTATCTTTTCCATTCGCCTCCAGCACCACATTTCAAATCTCTCGAGGTAGTTTTTATCGGCCTATCTTAGAGTCCATGTGCCCGATCCATACAGAGCTATGCTCCAGACGTAGCACTTTATTAGTCTCATCCGCAAGTCGAGACTGAGTTTGCTCGTCAATAACATTCCTTGTCCTGATCTCTTTCGTGCAGTATCTGTCTCTGGTCAGTATGCTTCCCAGGTATTTGAAATGATCTATGTCTTCTAATTCTCGATTTTCTACCGTTATCCTCAGGGGATTATTTCTTTTTGTGATTCTCATCACTTTCGAATATCTATGTTGATTTCCATTTCGTATCTTCTATCCACTTCAATGATTCCGCTCATCGTGTTTTGCAGCTCGGTTTGGTTTTTCGATATCACTACTGGATCATCAGCGTACTTTATGGTAGTGATTCTTCTTCCTTCAATCGAAAAATCTCCTGCGCCTTCAAGTGCCTCGTTGATGAGCCATTCTCCGTACAGGTTCAATAGGATCGGTGACATACAGCATCCTCGCCGCACTTCTCTACCTATTTCAACGCTGTTTGTATCTCTCTGGTTCACTCGAACCTTTACTTTCTGTGCCATATACAGATTCTGAATGAGCCTGCGATCCCTCCATTCGACGTTAATAGATTTGAAAATTCACATAAGTTTACTCCAGTTTACTCTGTCAAAAGTCCTCGTTATCTGTTAAAAATCCTCAAATGTCCTCGTTAACGTCGAGTCATCTGTCCGACTTTATCCTTAATATTCCGATAGCGTCCTTGATGCCTCTTACCTTTCTGAAACCAAACTAGTCCTCGCCCATGTGCTGCTCGATCTTATTTTCGAGTCGTCTCGTAAGGATTTTGGCCAGAAACTTTCTTGTGTGCGAAGTTAAACTGATCGTCCTGTGGTCGCTGCATTTAATCCCTTTGGGTTTTTTCTGAAAAGCTATCATTGTGGTGTTCAGAAAGTCATTTGGCCATTTGCCCGTTCGGTATATATAATTCAACAATTTGGTCAGTTTCCTCAATCCGTTGTTGCCCAGCTCTTTCAGCAGGTCCGCCGGTATGTCGTCATCTTCGGTTACTTTCTTTCTTCTCATCTTAGGACGATTTTCTCTATCGTACAATTTCTCAATGCATTTTTCCTATACTCTGAGAATTTTCTTGAGGTCACTCACTCTATTTCCATTTTTGTCTTCCATTTCGTATGTTTTTCAGCTTTTCCTTTTATTCCAGTACATTTCTTTTTTCTTCTTTCTTTTTGATGTTCCATTATTCTGTTGCACGTTTCGTCCATGTATTTCACCTTTGTCTTCTCCGTTTCTTGCCTTAATTCATTATTCAAATTTCTATACATTCTTATTTTTGTACTTTCTACGCTCATCCATTTTCTTTATTATCTCCTGGGTTATCCACGGTTTTCTAGCTGTTCGTTGCCCACCCCCCACGACGAGGACGCCGAGTTAGTTCGAACCGTATATACGAGTATATGTATATATATACTTATCTACGCAGTAGAATCTGCTTAGAATGACGACTAGATATATTGACCGATACCTTAGTTTAGTTTCAATATAAAATTTCTTATAAAACACTCGGATTTAATGACTTTTCTTATATAAACAAAGACAGATTGCTTTGTGCTAATGACTGGTGCCCTCTTAAAGACTGTTTTTGCAACTTTGTACTGGTTTTGTAGTTTAATAATTAAGCTATAGTTTTTATAATCACCGCCCGTTAGTTTCGACAGTCTGACGCCCTGTCTCCGCAGTATTTTGTAAAAAAAACACTTTTCCTTGCAGGGTGTTAACTCTGGTTAATTTCATTTTTACTTGAATATAATTATTACTTTTTAGAAAAAATTGTGAAATATAATAAAAATTGAATAATCTAATCCAAAAACTATTGCGTAAAACTAAATCGGGTTTTCATCACAAATGCCTTATAAATAACATTTTTTTAAATCTTCAAACACACATTGATCATACCTTTAACATGGCAATTGGGTGCAAGAGATAGAATTAAGTTAACCGATTTTATCTCTGTGGGGTTATTACGTCTATTTATTTTTGACATTATATTGCTAATCACTAATTTTACCATAATACCCATCACCGGATACGTCTGATTCTGAATCGGATTCGGACGCTGAGTCGGATATGGAGTCGGATTCAGAGTCGGATTCAGTGTCGAATCCTGGGTCGGATTCAGAGTCGGTTTCAGGTTCCGGTTCCGGTACTGGTTCTCGTTCTGTTCCAGATCCTGATTCATTGTCCGGTTCATCGTTGCGCTTCTCGTCAGCCTGATTTGCTCCCCAAAACCAATTAAAACCCAAGCCGAAACTAGTAAGAAGACGATTTACGGAAAAGGCGACCAAAAATATTGTTGTAAAAACGTTCACTGTTGGACAATGAAAAAAAAAATCGGATATAGGCATCATACAAAATGAATTTACTAATAACTAAGAAAATTTACGTAATTTATTATTAAATTTAGATCGGATGAAAATGCTACTTTAAAAAATCGAAATATCAAAAATATAATTCGTGTTTTGTTTAATTTTGTTTGAAGTAAACTAGATGAAAACAAAATTTTGTTCAAATCGTACAAACTGCGGTTTTAATTGTGTATGTCATAGGTGTATGCTATAGAGAATATAGTTCTGATAAGAATATATTTATATATCGTTGTAAATTCTAGTTTAATCTTTTACAGTTGGATTTATACACAGAAACTTGGGGTCTAAGACCCGAAACTTTGTTTGTAGCCCTTCAAGCTGCATTGTCCGTTCCAGTTATCAAACCCATTTACGAAGGATTTAAACATCCTTTACAAGTATCGGATGTGATTGCTAATCTCAAATCTCCTACACGAAAAGTGACAAGGTAGCATTAAAAGTAGATTTTATTATAATAAATAAAATTATAGTATAACATTAACCTGTTTTTTCTATTTTGGTACAGAATCCTTCTTGAGAAAATAATACCATTTTGTCAAAAATCAGTTTCAAGACGAGAATCTACAAAAGCGGCCATAGTATCTGTGATACATAGCTTTCGTTTAGCCTACAGACGCCTTGCCGATATGATGCAAAGGGACGGCTTGTTACCGGAAACCGATCTAATATTTTTTATGTCTCATCCAGAAATCGGGAAGTTCCTGGAGACTCGGAATCCTACAATATTATCGAAGTAAGTAACAGCTAAAATCACACTATACATTATCTGTCTATAAAGTTAAATATGCTACTTTGTTTCTTGTGTAATATGTCATTATTATATTATTGAAGAGCTTGGAGGAGAAAAAGACTATTCCCTCAATGGGAGGCAATGAGATTTGGCTGTTCTCAAAAATGTAAAACTATTCCAAATGGCGCTGCGATATTAGAAGACATAGTTAGGGTTGAAGGAGCTCCAGTTTCTGAAGGCGGAGCTAAGGGTCGCGCTTGTGTACTTCATAATTATGAGGAGGTAATAAATAAATCTTAACTCTTTCGCTACAAGTGTCGTCTATAGATGTAAAATGACATTTTAAATTATTGAGAATTTTAATTTGTCATTGTGGTTTTTAGTATTTTTGCAAGTATTATTTTTAATTTGTAATTGCATTTTTATGGAAATGATTACAACAGGTAACAACAGTGTCACTCATCTCGTAGCGAATAAGTGATTAACAGATTAATAATATCCATAATGCTTGATTTTCGTAATTATTGTATAGGTTCACAATATTAGACAAGGTGACATCTTGATAACTATCAGCATAGATGTTGGTTGGTCACCTTATTTTCCGATGCTTGCCGGAGTTGTAACTGAACTAGGAGGGCTGATATCTCATGGTAAGTTTTATTACATTCGTTAGCTATTATTATAAAACTCCAAAACTTCAATGGGCTTACTGTGATATAGGTAAGTAGTAACAGGGATTTTTCAATAAGATCCTAAAAGATATAAAATATTTCTTCGGTCCGATTGAATATGCAAACGCCCCCGCATAATGTTGTCATGGCTATTGCCCCAAAAATCGATAAAACGGATTACAAAAGTGTGCAGCTGCATTATTTTTGTCAGGATATATATAACTGCACTATCATTAAATTTCGGGTTGCTTTATGATTATTAACTAACTTTAAATTTTTGGACTTAGTTGATACAAAACCTTAAAGCTAGTCTGGAATGTAGCGAAGCCTATACAGATTCAAGTGAAGAAAATGGGGTGTAACTTATAGTTTGTAAGATGTGGGCATGTAACAGTTGGACATGTATTACCTGTTCGACAAACAGGAGATATATTGTTCATATTAATTATTTACGTTAATTTATGATAAGAATTTGTTAGAGGAGAGACTATACATTTTATTTGTATTATAGGAGTATACGTTGATTTTTTAGAAGAATTATTTACTTTAAGTTAATTTTCTTAAGACGAAGCAAACAATAAATTATCAGAGGTATTATTGTCGTTACTACTTTCTCAGTAAATATTACAACTTGCCCAAATACGCGGTAAGTTTTAAAACCGCACTTTTTCTATAAATTGATTAATTGTGAAATAAATAACAATAGTTATATTATAGAGTTATTTTCATGTAATAGAGGATTAATTACAGTATCTATCTATTTTTTTGTAAAAATATAATCATTGTATCTCAAGATATATTTATTTAAAACTAGCAAACCTGACGAAATCCGTTTCGCCACCAGATGGTTTCGCGAGAAAGATGAAGAAATTTTTTGTTTGTTTTATATTTGAAAAGGAAAAATTTGATCAGGAAGGAAAACCTGACTTATTTTTATATATATAGAAAATAATCTATTTGCAATTATTTAAAACAATTATTGATTATTTTTATTACTCGAATTTTTAATTACGGTGCGTGAAGTTCCAGCAATTTGCATTAGGGCACGATGCCATGCACCTCTAATTTTCTTAGCTATAAGCTTTGCGGAGCCCGAGACCTTTCCAAAGAATGCAAAATTGTCGAAATCGGTTCGTGCGTTCTGGAGTTATTTCGTCAGGAAGGAAAACCCGATTCATTTATATATATATATATAGAAGATAAACTGTTACAAAAAGCACCGACCTGCCTAGTACTATAGTTTTTTGTTAGATTTTAGTAAATGTAGGTTTTACTAATGTATACAAATTAAAATATTTGGAATGAAAATTTAAAGTCGTTTGAAGAAATGTAAAAAAATGACAAATGAAATTAATTCATATATTGTTAATTATCCAAATATTAAATAAACGACGAAAAACTAAATGTATTGTATATAATACCCCGGCCCGCTAATAAGTAAAGGTACGGGTATATTTTCCCGCCCCGCTTATAGTACTATTAACTGGTGTAATTTTCACTTTTATCGTATGAATTGGTGGCAATCATCTATTTTTCTATTAGGATATCAAAATAATTACAATTATGTACGTGCATTTGTCTTTTTGCAGGTGCGCTGGTTGCTCGCGAATTCGGTTTACCTTGCATAGTGGGCGCCCATGGTGCGACCGAAATAATTTCAACCGGCGACTACGTGCAGATTGACGCCGCGGCTGGTCTATTAGTAAAAATATCGTAACGGACTTTTTGACAAGTGTGAATGTTTGTGCCATTGTGAAATATTAATTTATTTAATTTAATTATGCTATATAAATGATCGCGTGTTATCACTAATTGCTAATAACCATAGTTTGACATGACAGATCTACTAAAGTCATTGACGGAGATTATAATATTTGTGGTTGTGTTATAATTGTTATATCTCACAAAATTTTAAATTTAGTGAAAAGACCATACAATGCATGCGTGAAGTGCAATTTTGTTAAATATAATAATTAAGTTTTATTTTCAATATATTTATTTACGAGCTTTATGAGTTCAATGCGTAGTGAATATGCTTGGATGAAATCACAAAATATTTGATTATAGTTTAATCATTATCGGTTTGTATAATTTGAGTTCATATTCAAATTACACACGATGCAAATAACATTAGTATTATAAAATAACTTATTTTAAAATATATAATAAATATAACTATTTATAAATGTTTCGTTGGGTTTAATCGTTATTAAATAATATTAAGGAACTTAACGAACATGACATTCCATATTGTTAAAATATTGGTTTTTGTTTATTACTTACTTAAAATAATAACAAAAAATATTATTTGATATGTATTATATAGATTTTAGTTAATGTACATTAGAATTTACGTTCTAAATGAATATTTTTTATTTCATATGAGTAGACAATTGTTTAAAATGTATAATAGCTGTGAAAGTTTAATAACACATATTTAATCATTTTTATATTATTCAAATTACTTATATGTAGAAAAATATGTATTTTGTAAAAATTGAAAAAAAATCTATAATAGTAATGTAATTTTTTTTTAATTATAAATCTCTTCAATTTTCTTCTTAAAAAATAGTTATTAAGTTTTCAAGTGATACAAAAATAAATCAGATATATATTCAAACAAAAATAAAATTTATTACTAATATTTTCAGTGTAAAATACAACTTAATATTTGTTTAATCAACATGATAATAAAAATTATATATTATATTTAGTATTTACTTTTCGTGGGGGGTAGGCAACGATGAGCTAGAAACAACGAAATCGGCTATCCGTGAGGGCAGGAAAACTGGAGAACCTCAAGAAGGAAATGGACAAGTGTAGAGTGGACGTCGTGGGACTGAGTTAGATAAGGTGGCAAAGACAGGATGAAACCGAATCGGACGGTTTCACAATGTACCAAATGTGAACTGCGTGAGTTATCTGCGTCTGATGAGTACGACTGACAGCGGAGCCGGTGGATGTGCTGGTGGTACAGGTGTACATGCCGGAATCGAGCCACGACGAGGCGGAGGTATAACATATCTACGAACAGATAGACGGGATGTTGTCTCAGGCAGACAAAGGAAAGGTCAACGTGGTGATCATGGGAGATTTTAATGGAGTAGTCGGAAAGGAGTCCGAAAAAAAGATTGTGGGCAAATACGGATTAGGCAGAAGGAACGACAGGCAAAGTATGCTTATTGACTTCTGCCGCAGTAATAATCTCATGATAGCAAACACGTGGTTAAAAAGCGAAAGGCAAAGCCGTATACCTGGAAAAGCTTGGGAGACAGCGAGCGATATGAGATTGACTACATCATCGTCATAACAAATTCATAAATAGCGTGAAGGGCGTAAAGGCTTTTCCAGAAGCCGATTTAGACTACGATCATAATTTGTTGACGGCCCATATAGAGACAAAACTGAAGAATATCCGCAAAACAGGTAAAAGGAAACGGAGATGGAATCTAGAGAACTTGAAGAATAATAGAGTCGAAGTGAGGAGAGAAATGGAAACAAAGTTCTGCGTAATGAAATATGGGGAAGAGAAAGTAGAGAATGATTGGAATAAGGTAAAAAAGTTTACTTCTGGAAACGCTCGAAGACAACATCGAAAAGCTAGAAAAGTAGCTTAAAAGCCGTGGATAACCCAGGAAATGATAAAGAAAATGGATAAGCGCAGAAAGTATAGAAGTACAGATTTTAGGATGTATAGAAAATTGAATAATGAATTGAGGCGGGAAACGTGGAAGGCAAAGGCGAAATACATGGATACAGGAAACGTAACAGGCGAAACGTCAACAGGATATTGGAACATCAAAAACGAGGTAGGTACGACTTAATGTTTCAGGCTACAAAGGAGATGGACTGGACTGAAGACAATAAGGAAAATGGAATGACAGACCACAAAAAAAATCTCAGCGTATGGGAGAAATACATTGATAATTTGTACGATAGAAAAAATCGTCCTGATAATATTAAGATCGAAGAAGAGAAAAAAGTGAACAAAGACAAGGGACCGTGCCTATTGAAAAGCGACGTCGAGCAAGCAATAAAGGGCATGAGAAGAAAGAACGAGCGATGACGACATACTGGCGGACTTGCTGATAGAGATGAGCAACAACGGATTAAGGAAATCGAAATGTAAAACTAAATATACCGAACGGTCGAATGGCCATTGGACTTCTTGAATGTCACGATGATAGCTCTTCAGAAAAAGCCCAAAGCAAACAAGTGCAGCGACCACAGGACAATCAGTTTGACTTAGCACACAGGTAAGGTTCTGGCCAAAATCCTTACGAGACAAGTAGAAAATAAGATCGAGGAACACATGAACGAATACCAGTTTGGTTTCAGAAAAGGAAGAGGCACCGGGGACGCTATAGAAATATCGATGATAATGTCAGACAGATGCCTGGACGTTAAGGAGGACATATGCTTCTGTTTTATAGTTTGGCCTTTAACAGGAGCAAATTTATGGGAATTTCAAAATCTATTAATGTAGATTCGAAAGGCCGCAAGTTGATTTAAAATTTGTATATGGGACTGAAAGTGAAGATTCGAGTTAACCAGAGTGATACAAACAGCGTTAAAATAGGAAGAGGGGTGCGGCATCTGACGGATCCTATTCAACCTGTACAGAGAATGGCTTGTCAACTAGGCACTTAAAAACACTGGAGATTTTTTGATCGAAGGAAGAAAAATCACCACAATAAAGTACGCTGATGATCTAGAGGTAATATCGAAAAAAGCGAGCTACAAAACACGATGAGTAGAATTGTCGAAGTGGGTAGAAGATACGGAATGGGCAACATCGACAAGTCGAAAGTGATGAGAATTACGAAACAAAATGAGCCCCTGAGGATACCGGTAGGAAATCGAGAATTAGAAGACGTGGATCATTTCAAATACCTAGGAAACATCCTGACCAGAGACGGATTCTGCACGAGAGGAATCAGGACAAGGATCGCAAGCGCCAAGGCGGCATTTACAAAGAAAGACGAGCTACTGACGAGCAAACTGAATCTCGATTTGCGGAAGAGAATAATAAAGTGCTATGTCTGGAGTATAGCTCTGTAGATATGGACTCTAAGAAAGGCCGAAAAGAACTACCTGAAGGGTTTTGAAATGTGGTGCTGGAGGCGAATGGAGAAGATAAAGGGAAAAGACAAGATAACAAATGAAGAAGTCCTGAAAAGAGTGGGCGAAAAAAGGACTCTACTGAGCACGATTCTGAAAAGAAAAGAGTGCCTATTACACAACGTAGTCGAAGGTAAAATAGAAGGACTGAAAGAAATGGGAAGAAGAAGCTTGGTGAAGAATAGGAAATACTGGGAACTGACAGCCGAAGCGCAGAACCAGTAAGCAGAAGTTTGGACAGGAAATGTGGAAATGGAATGGAAAGCAATGGAAAGTTTTTGATGAGTTTTTTTTTTAATATTAAACATAAATTTACTATTTACTAATTTAATTATTATTTTTGCTGTCTGATGATATTGAATTAGGAAATGAGTTAGACATGTTTCCGTTGATCTACTCCCATGCTCAAACTGTCGGAACTTTTTCGGGCAGATTTCTATTCACAAATATTCAAAGCACTTCAAGCTGCTTATAAATTATTGTAAAGCTTTTAGCTGGAGTTGTGCCCTTTATCAACTACTTCTGTTTGCACAGTACATATCTATGATGTGTTACGCTCGTACATCCTCACCATCCTCATATTTTCCAAAAATTTCACCCTTTAATTCAAGGGGCTTGGTACTTTTCTTTAGACCGACGGATATAAAAGTAAATTATATTTTTGAAATTAACAAATAGTAGAAAGGCAAACTCGACATATTTAGCTGTACAATCACAATTAATGCATAGTTAAAATTTCAGACGTTGAAATGATAATAATAAATAATTGAAATGACTAACTATAAAATAATTTAGTACTATATAGCCAAAGTATTTCCATGGTAGGAAAATTACTGTAACAACTGACAAAATGTATTATGTTTTCATTTTGTCATTAACATTTTTTGATAACACTCTTACTTTAAACAATGAATCTCTCCTTTCATGGCTCGTATGTCGATACACACATATACCGAGTCACTCGTAAGTCGAGAAATCACTGTATACATTATATATTAAAGAATTGAAATAACTTTATACTAATTTAATTGATGTAACTCCCGACTTTTAAACTCGTATTAAATATATATATATATATATAATATAAATATATATATATATATATACATATATACATATATATATACATATATATATACATATATATATATATACATATATATATATACATATATATATATACATATATATATATATATATATATATATACATATACAGTCAAGTAAGAGCGTGGCCGACTTTAACGACAGTTAATGAAAGATTTCGGTCTCATTCTTTCGTGAGCCGATAAAGTGAAGCTTTATCCTTGATGCATTGTCAAAAAAGGTTTAGTTGCAGTTCATCTTTTGAGAAAAAATTACGTTAAACGCCATGAGTGCTAAGTTACGCGTCGCGCTACGAGGCTGCGCCTTTTGCATGCACCTAAAAGGTACCCAATTGTAGCAATCAGCTGCTGCTAAACATATGAGAAAGTTGAAGACATTTGTACAGAATTCGATACACCTATATAAAGTTGCTAAAAATGTCGATGATTTATCAGAACGTGGTTCAAATAAAAAAGAAGAAAAAAGAACAGTGAATGGGTATTTGCGGAATCCTGCTTTAACACTGCAGCAAGGACGAGCAAAATTAATGGCAAAATGTTTAGAAATATCTACAAAAATATCTACAAAACTATCTGAACCTTTCTTCGTATTCATGATCTGAAATGGCGCAACACAACGGGGAAGTCTCTGACGACTGAAAAACATGTGCTTCATTTCCGCTTGAGCACATGAAAATATTGTTAGAGATTTTGAAAATGTCATTTTCACTGATGAAAGTTCTATATGAGCACGTACTGCCCTCATCGAGCCGTTAAATTAAAATACGAGCCGTCAGACTAAAATAATCCGTTAAATTAGTAAAAAGCAGGCGTCGGAGATGCCAGGCAATTGTCGACTCCGGTGGTGACTGGACACATATTGACCAAATTGCATCCTTGCTTTTAACGTATACGATGCATATATAAATATTAAAGTTTCATAAAATAATTATTTTTATAAATTAACCCGGCCACGCTCTTACTTGACCGACTGTATATATAATGTGTGTATGTGTGTGTATGTATGTTTGTATATATAATATACTAGGGTCCCTATAGTGGATATTTTCGAATTTCTTTGCTTCCAGAGGCTAAAATGCTTCCAAATTAAAAAAAATCAAGTTTTAGCTCTTAGTATTAACTTTAAGTTAGTCCGTACTCCAACCAAAGTTTTTTTATAGAAATAACATGGAAAAATTTTCATTTGTTTTTTTTTTTTTAAATTTAATAACTCAATTCAATTTCTATAAGAATATAAGCGATATTATATAGATCGAGTATCTATACTATAGACGATATAAATAAATCTGCAAAAATTGAAAATATGAAAATGGATTACCACTAACTATCCAAATGATACCACGTTTCACCTGCACTATCATTTTTTTATCTTGAAAATCAGAATGCTATCAGTTTTATTAATTGAAAAATCACAAATATTCATCAAAATTTTGAGAATAAACATAGTGTTTGCTTATTTTGATCGTGAATAAAAAATTTACAACAAAAATTTGATATATTTTATAAAATAAGTATTCAATAAATAATTATACTTGATACTTGAGCTCGAATAATTCTTAATCAAATGGATTTAACAAAAAATTATGAGACACCTTTTGTAGAGCGTCGAATTTTCACTGAAACATGACACGAATTGTTACTTTTGATTCATTTGTCGCTGAGTTATAAAATACTAAAAACCAAATGGAATGGAATAGAATTTTTTCCATGTTATTTTCATAAGAAACATATTTGGTTGGAGTTCGGACTATCTTAAAGTTAATATAAAGAGCTAAAACGTTCAGTGAATTTTTTTTATCAATTTGGAAGTTTTGGGAGCAAATAAACTCGAAAATATCCATATTAAGGACCATCCTAATATATACACACACATAAACTAAATGGCAGTAGATTGTAGTTGTTGTGTTAAGAATAGTTTCCAATTTCTTGCAATTATTTGCAATCAGCATATCCATTATTTTATATAAAGAAACGTTCGAAGGCAATTACTTCATTGGTTTTGATTCTTCGCGCGATAATAAGCGCAATTCTTCATATGCACCTATCAAAATATTCCTAATTGTAAGCCCGCCCGAACTTTTTGCCCCCACCCCGTACCCTGTGTGGTTGGCCTTGCAGATTGGATCATGTGATAGCGTAGAGCGCGCAGTCGGTATAGACAAATAATGGAATAAGCATGCTAATTGTGCAAAACATATACTAATTTGGGATTTTTTATTATTTTGTTATGTTTGATTATTAACTTAAACTATAACAATTTTTGGTGTAATAGAAAAATATTTCAAAATTTCTTCGTAGAGTTCTTTTGTAATTATTGAGTTATTATGGTTTAGTTGTTTTAGAACTGCTGATTGGCGCGAACATCTTTCCTTGGTGTCCAAAGGTACTAAATAATAGTCTAATAGTCGAATTAAAATGATTTTCTTATTATAATATGTTCACGTTGAATAAATGATCGAGACATTAAGTTTCTAACAAGTATATATTATAAGAAGAAATATGAATGTGAAGTGAAATTTTGATATTGTATATATTTTGAAGGTATAAAAAACTTTGATATCCCTTGGCGCCTGTCCGCTGATAACAAGTTGAGAAAATCTTCGAAAGACCAGTCTCCTGCTTCTGGAAAATACTTTAAAAAAGATAAGGAAGGAAAAGAAAGTTTTAAAAGAATTTTCCTGTAAAGTACAAGGTAAATTATACATATATATATATATATATATTTTTCTTAAATGAAGTGCATTATAAGTTGGTGGACATTGTTGTAATGAATGAAATGAGGGACGATAAAGTAAGGGCATACCGAAAAACAGAAAATGATTATAAATACATAATTTAAGTATAAAATAAAAGATTATAGACTTTGATTAATTTATAATCTTACTATTGAGGGAAAAATAATTCTAGCCTCGTTCGCTTGATTTTTTTCTTCGGTCCTTTGACATACATTTTTGCCGCCAGTCAAATTCGACATTTTTCGACTACAAGCAGCTTCACCAGCATTCGATGGCGTGCATAAAATAATTTTTCAAATATCGACTTCAACTAAATAGTTTAATTAAATATCTCAATTTTCACAAGTTTGAATTATTTACAAAATTTACAAAAGCAAGTTAGTAACTAGCTGTAAGTGGAATTCTATCTTAAGGCAATTAAGGCATCGTGCCTTAAGGCAAATTGCTGGAACTTTCCGTACCAAAAATTATTATTTTTTTAAAAACGATTAACAATTTTGAAAAAAATTTACTTTGAAAAAATAAGATTTTTGAGAAACTATAAATTGGACAAAAAATTACTTTTTTTGAAACAAAATTTAAAAAAAAAATATTTTTTTTTTAATTTTTTTTTTTTTTTGAAAAAAAATTTTTTTTCTTTATTTTGACATATTGTGGAAGATCTGAATTTTCTTTTTAAGGCAATCGTACTGCTTTAACTGCATAGGGACAAAATATAAAGCGCGTAAGCCCCGCGTCAATGTCTAACGCATAAGCATTGGTACGGAACGCATAGGAATGTTAACAAAATGTATACTTATTGTTAAAATCTCTATAAAATATCTGATAATTTGATGTGCATATGTCTAATGATCATTTTTGACCGCCAAATGGTTCATTTTTTTACTTTTTCCTCCATATCTCCGAAACCGCTAGACCTACCTTCATGCAAATTTTATCGATTCTTCATCTTGTCAATACAAGTTCAAATCGGACGCTCCGTTCTCTTAAAAACTGAGTTACCGTTTTCGGTACTTCTTGCCCCGTATCTTCGGAACGGCTAGACCTGCCTTCGTCAAAAACTAATCAGCACGTCTCCTTATCAATACGAATCGAATGTTTTTTGAATTATTTAAATCGGTTGATCCGTGTTCCCGAAATCGTCGACGAAAATTTGCATCCGCACATACATACACACACATACATACGTACATACATACATACACACACACACACACATACATCCATTTTTTCTAAGGTATGCCAAAATGTTCAGAAACCTCTGAAACGTAAAGATATATAAAAATTTTCATTTTTGATTTTTTTGCGATTACTATAACTTGCCCTACGGGAAGTTAAATATGGCGGCAATCATACAAAACGAATCGTGTAGAACACGTATACTCGATATATTTGTGTGGATAAATCGTTACAACACAATTGATTGAAATGGCTAACTATAAAATAATTTATCATAAAACACCAAAATATTTCTAAATTTTTCTTTTGTTATGAACATTTTTAGAGAAAACTTTCACGCGCCCAAATCTCGTATGTCGATGCCAATGAGCACCTTTTTTGGCGGCCATATTATTATATTGTCTAGGTTGGCGGCACGTATCTCAAAAAAGATCAGAGGGCCGTTTCTTGGTAATTAAATACCGAAGAAAATAACTTTTTCAATAAAACTCAGCAGAACTATAGAGTTAATGGTCTTTACGAACATGCTATAAAAAAATAGTTAAAACAGTTGAATTACAAAAATTAATTAAAGTTTGAAATAACGTTCCGCGCTTTTAGAACAGAGTATATAGAATAGAATATAGAATGAGTTTGTGCACAATGATTGATGGAATTATCAATTGGAAATTGAATTGGTTAGTTTTTAGTGTAAACGAAAACTTTACTAAATAAATAGTTAAATAGCTAAATCTCAATACTTCTTTATTAAGATTACACTTTCGATTACAGTTTTCATGGAAGCTGCCTTAAGGTGAAAAGCCACTTAAGGCACAATTCCACTTACGCCTAGTTTTGTATAAAGGCTGAAGTTCTAACTGATCGAAAGGTCCATTGAAACCAAAGTAACGATCCAAAATGCACGTGAAACGTCAAATAGTTTCGACATATATTAATAGATGCCACCAGTACCAGGTCAGCCACGTAAGTCAGATTTTACGTGTTCTTCGTAACGAAAAAGTGCAAATAATATTCACATGCAATGCACTGACGCATTATTAATTTCGGTGAAAATGTTGTGAGAATTGCTTAAAATAAGGTACATAATTCATTTTGTTCTAAAAGTGTTTTAGTGAGAGTGAAGTTTCTGAGACTTTGAAAATTTTAATATTAACAATCCCTGACCAAAGTTGATGCTCGAAAATGCAAATGTCACTTTTAGACTTTTTTTGCACGGCTTGTCCTTTTAGTATACTCTATACTCTTTTAAGAATCGTAAAGATTACTAAATCGTATATTTCGCCATGAATACGATTTTTTAAGATATAGTAAATATTGCATTTTTTAGACATACGTATTGAGGGTTAATTTTGACATTTGACAAATCATCAGTAATTTTTTTTGTGTATCAATGTGTGAGCAATAAGATTAACAAGTTTGAGCGAAAGTAATTAAATGATTGGTAAGATTGTAGACCTAAACTAATCGAATGATTATTACTTCTCATTATTAAATTATGTTAAATATTAGCATTGAACTCTTCAAATATCTTTTGTAGTGTTTTGAGTGAAATTTCAAATAGTCTTTTTTATGTACTTTTTATCTATGGATTGATATCTGTAATGGCATATGTTAAAAATTTAGTATTAAGAAGCTTATTCAATTTAATCTTTGTAAATATAGAAATTAGGTAAAAGTAATTATATGCTTGAACTAAGTATGATACTACTATTGACTGCTATATTTATTTTATTTATTTATTTCAGGTAATCAACGATGTCTTCGGTGAATTTCCCTAATGGTCAAGAGGTACCATCCATGCCTGTACCGTTACATCCAAACCAAGTTCTTCTGGATCAAAATCTTGATCCATTACAATTCTCAAATTCGAACAGAAGTGTACCTAATCTAAAAGGTATAATGCCTAACAGCAATGTGATAGGAAGTCAGAATCCAAATATTATGACAATGAACAACACAGTAAGACCACTGCCAATGAACAATTTTCATTTACAAAATAACAGTAATAATTCATCAAGGACAAGCTCACCTTATCTAAGCCAAAATAAATTTAGTCATATAAATTCTATGGACAGTAATTTGCATCAGAGTAGTGCATCTTTTCGACTTACACCGAAAAGTGGTGTTATTCTTAGTACACAATCTACCAGTAATACATTAAATCAATCGTCTGTAAGAAATGATAAAGCTCCGAATATGGTGAATAGTGTTGTCAATGCTCAGATGAGTGCTCCGTTAATTCCGAGTACTGTGAATAGTTCCCATGTTGTTACTTCAACACATAATTCTTTGCAAAATGCAGCTCCACCTTTTAATGGGCAAAGTCAACATTATCAATATGTACCCAAGCCTAATAGTAGTACACTACCAGGAAAGATTCAAACTCAAGCACCTTCATATGTTTCTTTTCCCAATCAAATTTCGCCAAATTCTATGCGGCCAAATATGTATGCTCAACAGAATGTGCAACAAATGGTACAACTTGTTCCTCCCCAGTCTACGAGTATACAGAATCAACCTCCTCAACAATATAATCAAGTACCTAATGCTCCTATGCCTTTTAATTCAATGCCTCCATTGAATACTGCACAAAACTCCCAACAGCAACCTACTTATGTGAATAATGTACAGCATAATCAAATTCGGCCTAATGTGCCTCAATTAACTCAACAAATGGGAAATTTATCTATTGTACAACAAGGATTTAATTCATTGTGGGGTCAAGAAACAGTTGATCTTATGCAATGTAGGAATATTTTACCTCCAGAAAAGGTTGAAGCACCACCTATTAAATTGCAGCAACATTTTCATGATGCCGTCAATTGTAATCCTGAGTAAGTTTTCATTTTTGTATTTTAATTCAACAAATTATTAAATTGCTTTTTTTTATAGATTCTAAGATGATATAACTATAAGCGATACTTTTTAATAACACAACATTGAGTAAAATCTTGTTAATTTTTAATCTTGTAAATGCTTATAATGTGCAAATTTAACATAAAGCATTTACAATTTTTTTTAACTATTTTTGTCACATTCGTTAATAAATAATTAAAATGCTTAGTACAAATGTGCAAATCTGTAAATATATATACTGTTATACATCAGATTTTTTTATGTTACTACTGAATAATAAATAATAATTGCATTTTGAATATAATTTTGCAGCGTTTTTAGGTGCACAATGACAAAAATTCCTGAGACAAATAACTTATTGCAAAAATCTAGACTTCCTTTAGGAGTGCTAATTCATCCTTTTAGAGACCTTAATGTGAGCAATATGTATATTATAGTACCTTATATGAATCTTTCACTTTTGTTTTTCATATATCATTGTTTGTTAGTTAACAATCTTCAATTTAAATTTAATTTTTCAGCACTTGCCTGTCATACAGTGTTCTACAATTGTTAGATGTAGAGCTTGTCGCACCTACATCAACCCTTTTGTTTATTTTGTTGATAGCAAAAAATGGAAGTGCAATTT